AGTTAGCTAGAACTTTTTGAAAGCCATTACATCCAACATGTGATGCTCAACACTGGCACGTAGAAAAACCCAGGGCACTGACAATATGTCTGCATTTATATAGCACTTTTTAGACTGAGCAACCAACTAAACATAAACCCGTGTTCACCCGTTTACAGAGACATTCACACACTGAATCTGCCAATACCATTTTGATGAATGTATTTCATCATTCACATTGTTTTATAGTCGATAGAAAGCAACTAGTACATGATGCTGGTTTTGTCCCGCTCCCATGAGATCCATGTGGCTCTCACACCAACACAATATTTCGAACCTTCATGCAATCACCACTGATCACAAACGTGCAGTAATAATATTTTGAATCTTTATTCACCCATGATGCTGCTGATGACAGGGGGCTGCTGGGAAATGAAGATGTTCTCACCGTTGCCCTTGTACAGTATACCTGGTGGAGAGAACAGAGAGAGATGAGAGATAACAGCAGGAGGGCCGCAGAGAGAGGAGCAGTCTGAGCTGAGATTGAGTGAGTCAGAGGGGACACTTTATTGACACAGCTTTTAATCCATAAATAACATACACTGAAATATGGCACATGTACTGTCTTTTGATTGGATTACTAATGTATTCAGAACCACCTTCATACACACAAGGATAGTTTGTTACCAGGTGCATGTGAATCAGTGGTGAGGAGATCGACTGAGAATAAGAGAGGGATGCTCTCGTTTTTCAAAGTGAGACATCAAAGAGGATCTCCTGTGGTGAGCTACATTATTAAAACTGCTGCCATCTTGGAAACCCACATAACACTGCATTCATCCCTCCATCCATCCATCCCTCCCTCCATCCATCACTCCCTCCATCCATCACTCCCTCCCTCCCTCCATCCATCACTCCCTCCATCCCTCCCTCCATCCATCCCTCCCTCTATCCCTCCATCCATCCCTCCCTCTATCCCTCCATCCATCCATCACTCCCTCCATCCCTCCATCCATCCATAACTCCCTCCCTCCATCCATCCCTCCATCACTCCCTCCATCCCTCCCTCCATCCATCACTCCATCCATCCCTCCCTCCATCCATCCCTCCCTCCATCCATCCCTCCATCCATCCCTCCATCCATTCATCCATCCCTCCATCCCTCCCTACACCCATCCATCCATCCCTCCATCCATCCATTCATCCCTCCATCCATCCATCCCTCCCTACATCCATCCCTCCATCCATCCCTCCATCCATCCATCCCTCCCTCCATCCATCCATCCCTCCCTCAATCCATACATCCCTCCATCCATCCCTCCCTCCATCAATCCATCCATCCATCCCTCCCTCCCTCCCTCCCTCCATCCATCCCTACACCCCTCCATTTATCCATCCCTCCATCCATCCCTCCCTCCCTCCATCCACCTAATCTTTGAACACTGATACACTGAAACGTTGACTTTAATTCTATAATGTCAACAAATTCCACATAACTGTATTAGTTCATTTTAAAAGCAATACTATGGAGTTGAACCGAATATGTTTTATTTAAACTTGGTATTAGCTTTTTTCAGTGTATGGATGCATAACAAACGAGGGAAACACCAGTTGGACATATTGCTATTTGCCCTGAAATGCCATATGAGTGGGTTCCCTTCCTGTCAGCACATCACCAACTCTCTCTCCCTCTCCTCCTCCTCTCTCTCTTTCATCTCTCCCCACATTAGTTGGTGTTGATTGATCAACAGAGGCCAAGCCAGCAGGGTTCCTCGCACGCTGTGCTGCGGTCCACTCACAGGCCCACAACCAAGTATTTGACAGACTGGAAAAATGTGTGCTAGTGTGTGTGTGTGTGTGTGTGTGTGTGTGTGTGTGTGTGTGTGTGTGTGTGTGTGTGTGTGTGTGTGTGTGGTGGTCATGAAGTCAGAGATAGAGAGAGTGAGAATGTGAGCAAAGCTCTGTGTAAAGAGAGAGAACCATTGAATTTCCCTTCTGTGTTAAAAGAAAAGTAAGGCTTTTTCACATGGCTTCGAGTGTGTGTGTGTGTGTGTGTGTGTGTGTCTGTCTGTCTGTAAATGTATACATTTGATCTTGGCCTTAAAACATTCACATCCTTACACATCCACTTGGGCTCTGGCATACTGATCTGAGCACTACCAAGGACAAACTGATTGTCTCATACCTTTGGTGAGAGTTTGACTTGAATAATATTCTGTACCTGCCTCGATTGCATCATAGGAAAATGATGTTGTGTGGACGCTTCTGAGTACAACTGATTGGAAAACTAGAATTGGATTAAAATCCCTCGAGTTTAGACCACTACAGGAAACAGGGTATTGATAATGCTTACATACGTGTATTTGTTTGTCTTTCCTTTCAAATCTGCTATAATTATAATTGTCCAATGAGAGAAAAATCATTTTGAATAGATTAACATTTATGGACACGCAGTTTGTGAGACAAGTTCACAAGTAGATGTTGGTCTGTGCTGTCTGGTATGGTTAAATACAAAAACAAATAAAACACAGACATCCAAAAAACAACCTGTTATTATCCTCTCACACTGTGATTAGCTAGTGAAGGCTGGACATTAATAAGAAGAACAATGTCTGCAGACCTGTCAGTTATTAATGAAGGAAATGCATAGAGAATTAGGACTATTGAGATGAATCCATATAGAAGAGATTTATTTGATCTTATTAGATTTGTTCAGAGTCGATCCATTGCTGATGGATTGTTATTCCTTCATATTTTGGAATATATTGTATTCCCTTTAGGTGTAATTATTTATATCTCAACTACAAACACTTTGGTACATAACAATGGAGAGAAACACAATAATGTAAAGTTGTTCAAAGCTCAGTCATTTTTATTTCATGTCCTTTCTCATGTTCTGTGGAGCAGAGCACTAAAGCCCCGCACTGTGAGCTGCTTAATGTCTGAATAACAGCAGCTTACACACACGGCAAAACATCCGCACGCACGCACGCACGCACGCACGCACGCACGCACGCACGCACGCACGCACGCACGCACGCACACACACACACACACA